TGTACTAAAAATGCAAGAGTTGTACTTTAAACCTTTATTTTACATTAAATGGCTGACTTTGAGGACTCTCGTCACATGTCACATGTCACTGACAAGAGATCCCCAGGAAAAACTGCAGCAAGCTATTCTTCTTTAAACATTTTATATAAATTTGAGTTGTAAACATACCGTCCTAAACATAAATATGACAAATTAAAACATTATCTATAAACACAGACATTTTTTCAACATTAACTTAAAACCAAGTCAGTAAAATGTATTCCATTTTAATTACTTTAATATTAAAGTAAAGTTTTCAAGACAAAAACATTATCTGTCACATCTGACTTTCATTCTTTCACTAAAACAGTTGAAGCCTCACATTAAAGACCTCATTAACCTAATAGAAATGACAGAAAAAAGGAAAATAGAAAAACAGTGACTCAAGCGCAATGAGAGATGATAGACATGATGGGATGTTTGCTGAATTAACGCTGCAAAAGTCAATATTTGTCCTCAGTCACCCTGGCACACAAGACACATTCAAACAATTGCCTCAGTGCTGGCTTGCCTGAATGCACATGGACATCTCGCCTTCCCACACATAAACACACACACCTTGATATACTGCCAAAATAATAGATACAGACATAGACATATCACACCTTATCAACATATCTTATCACCATAAGACTAGCTGCTGTCATATGAGGCTTTCGTGCAAAAAGACTTACTGCTTCCACAGGAATTAAGATGATATCAGTAGTCATGTGCTGCTAGCTGATGAACGGCAAGTGTGAGCAAGACCTGCAAGACTTCTATTAAAAAAAGCAATGTTGGCAATTCACATGTCTTAAGCATTCACATATATGATAACACAATGTCACATTCACAGCAAATTTATCCCAAGATCAGACCGTGCGCATTTAGAGAAAATGCAAAAAGATCCAAGAGCTGCATGCAGACTCCAGTTATGTTAACTGTTAGAGTTCATGACAGTACAACGAGAAAAAAACCCTGAACAATTATGGCTTGTTTGGAAGTTTTGCCTTCTCTCTAAAAATAACACGGCAGCACAGGTCAAAATTAAAAATAAAAATAAAAAACAATGAAAAAAATAGAACACCTAATAACTCTGCCAATACATGCACACCATCTATCTTGAAGATAGGTGTGGCCCCAAAATACACTGGCATCAAAGCCTGACAGCTCAACCACGATGACTGACAGATGTGCTGACATTGGCAGCTGTAGGTGCTGGCGCATCCCTGGTGCTAATTAGAATCACTGATCTGCACCTGTTTACCATGTGCATGCTAATGGTGCCTTTTATAGAACTTTTAATGAAATACAATGTGGCTCTGTGTGTGACACAGATCATCCAAGAGGCTTTGGTTTTGTGGTTGAAATTTTATTACTATTTAATAATTTGCTTGGCATTAATTAAAGAACGCGTGTCTATGTGTTGTACTTTTTGTGTTAATGGATGCAGCTTGCTACCTTAAAACTCCACACGTTCATCCAAGTACAGTAAGCTGTGGCTAAAACTCATTTTGAAGATCTGAAGTGGGACTTTGCGTGATGTTACTGTGGCTACACAATGCATCTTTTGTGCTGTCGATGGATGTGAAACTGTAGCTCAACGATTACATGATACTGTTTGTGTTGGGTGTAGCTTAAGGTTAAAGCGGCAGCTGGAGTATAGAGTGATTTTATGCAAAGATGGCATTTACTTTGACCCCATGAAAAAAACAAACACTGAAGTCATTGTTTCAGTGTTAATTTAATCATACAAATGCTTAATTATAGTTACAGGAGGAAAAAAAAAACAACTTAATTTTGACAATTTCTCTTCAGATAAATGTGCTATCTTAGGACTATGTAAACTTTCATCTCATCCACTCACTCTGCCACCCATCTCAAGTCCAAACATAGTCACAAACTAAAACTAAAGAATGGATCCAGCAGTATTTTCTCACCATTTTTCTCTTCCTCACACACACAAGCAAGCCAACAAGAAGGAAGCTCACGCATGCACGCACACATGCACGCACACACGAAAAGAAGGAAAAGACAGACGTGAATAATCGAAGCAGTGCAGAACAGTGTATACTGTTTGGGAGGAGGACTGTCAGATGACTCAATACAAACAGAGAAGAGCTGCAACACAGAATGCTGGTGAATTTTAAAGATAAACATACATTATAATAGAAGAAACAATCCCCTTGATAATTAACCATCAAAAGTTGTTTAAAGGACTTTAAAATCAAAATATTAAAAGTTTCTAATAATCCTGTTTGAACACTTCCTTATAAAAACTGTAACACTATAATGGCGTTCTATGGACCACCCATTTTATTTTTAGGCCAAAAAGATACACAGAAAAAAAACCAAACAAACAAACAAAAAAAAAAACATGGACATAATGAAGGCAGCAAAGCTGAAGTAGAAATTCAGGTGTAACAGCAGACAAACTCATTCATGTGATCAGAAGAGAAAAACAAACAAACCCAAAAAACATACAATAACCTTCACAGTCAACATCAGACACTGGTGTAGGAATGAAACTAGTGTTTAACATTGAAACCTTTCATTTCAGGATATATAAAAACAAAAACCTGAAGCTGTGAGGAATACACAAATCAATATTTTGAGGAGGGGGGAATGCTGGTGTCACGATCCACAATAAGCCAAAAAACCTTAACTGACCCTCAGTGCTAACAATGCTGATAACAAACATCTACATTCTTCAGACAATCTGCTAGGCTCACACTACAACTCATCACCTTTCCCCCCTCATTCAGTATACTCAGCACTCATGACAAGTCTGGTGTAGTTTGGTCTTCTGATTTTTAGCACCACCTGCTGGCTATGAATGGGAATTATTAAATCTGCAGCACAGACAAAAAGACAAAATAAATAACATCTGGGACATTTTTGATGCGTGAATTTTTGGTGCAGAATCACTCAAAAATACTTCTGAGGTACACACTTATTAAAGCTCTCTCAGTAATGATGTGCATGTGTCAAGTCATCCTTTCCCCAAGTAGTATACACCATTTATGTCAGTTCAATCCAAAGAGAAACCATTAACATTTACACGCACACACGCACCAGGCAGGCACATACATACATACATAGACATGGACTCAGTCATTCATCACGCAAAATAGATTTAGATGGCTTTATCAACCTTTCCTCACAACTCACATATTCAAGCTTACTCACATCCATTTGCGCTTCAGCCTCCATTAAAAGCGAAACCCACCCTAAACAAAACAAAACAAAAATAATAATAATAAAATAAACTCCACCCTTGTCCCATGCAGTTTCAATTATGCACCTGCAGACTATGCAGCGGATGATGCCACCCGTTAGTGTCTGGTCTCTCTGGATTTTGTCTTTGGAAGAAACTGGGTTCCTACACAAGAATGACAAATATTTATATGCAGAAGGGCAGGAAGTCTTAGCTTTTAATAGTCTATGTAAACTTGGATAATAAGACTTGTTTCTTTAGATATTTTGTCAGACGACACAAGTCAAATGCATGTTGTCTGACTTGAATTGAATGGCATCCTGGATTCACAAAGTCCAACCCTGCTTAGTTTGAAGTTAACTGCAGTAACGAGAGAAAACGGCTTCTGTTGGAAGCATCCAAGCCATCTTACAGTGCAAATCTGTATGACAGCAGAACATAAAATCTCCAAATTATCAAGGATGAGTGCTAAACTCAAATCAAGGACTGCAAAGAAAAGGGGGAAAAAAAGTGACTGAATGTGGAGCAATCAGTCTAACAAGCCAAGTCGTAGCAGGGGGGAAAGTGTGTTGCTGCAATGCAGTAACTGCTGGAGTCATATTGGAGTTTTGAGAATTTCAAGTTTCCAGCTTGTGAATTTCTTAAAATTTGAATTACAAATGGAAATGTGTGATTTTTCTGGAGCTTTAACCAAACAAATGCGGACGACTCACTTTAGCCAAAGTCAGATATTCAATGTTGCCAAAGCCAAAATTAAAGTGCCCCTATTGTGCTTTCTCCTTCCCTCCAGTGTGTTACATATCTTCTGCGCATGGAAATAGTTTGCAGAGTTAAAAAGGCCAAACTGAATTATTCCAACTCCAAAAAAAAAGCTGTCCTCATTTACACATTTCACACATGTAATAGTGACACAAACACAGCACAGTACAGGACTAATCAGCCATTTTCACAAGGCTAAAAATCCTTGTGTTTTAACAGTAACGATCAACATTATCATAGCTAGCAGACAACAGCTGTGCTGATGAGTCAAAGTAAAAGGCAGAAGCGATACAATGTATTTCTAACAGTTTTAAAAACCTTTTGTTAGCAGTCAACAGCTTTCAGACGGTTTCCTCACTTGTCATGAGAGGGGCCTCAAAAAGCTGTGAGCGTGCCAAAAATGTGAACATTATTTTGAACACTGAAATCATGTAAAACAATTCAGGCTGTAAATGAGCATAACAGGGGCACTTTAGACATAGTGTTACATTTTAAACATGGCATCACCATATCCATTACGACCAGTTGTCTGGTGATGCAAAATTGGTTGATGATGGGAAAGATTCCCATCTCTCTCATACATGAATGCAACTTTGAGGCTTACATTTTTGTACGCACTTAAGTGATGATTTTCCAGAGCTGGCAAAGACCTGTGCATGTTTTCTTTCTTTCCTTTCTTATGTGTAGTTTTCTGCTTCTGTGTTTTACCTAAAGGAGTTTGAAACTTCTGCACATTTAGATTTTTTACATTTTTTTGAGGGGGATGGTGAATAAAAGATAACACCTTTTTTGAAATACTGTGTAAAACCTCAACATGAATGACCACTAGAATTTCCTGTACTACTCTAACATATTTAAAAAAATAAATAAAAAAATTTCTAGACCTGGGTAGGAACCCAAAAGAGAGAAAGCATTCAACTGCCCACGGGAATACCAAACTGTTTAGGGTGACTTTCACTTTAATTAGGCACGTTTTTACCACGTAAATAAAAAATAGTCAGGTGTATCTATTCGTAAAGGTTTATAGCACTCTTAAATGAAGCATTCACACATGCGAGTCCAGGTGTTGATGTCAGGTGGGATGTTTCACGGCAGCTGATGTAATCCATCACCTCACTGTCCTCTGTGTTTCTGTGGAAAGGGTCACGGGTTGTTTTTGGAAGAGGGTTGTCATGAGTCAATATAAAACAACTGTTCCTCTCCCCCTCCAACTCCTCTGTGTTTAAGGACTCCCAGGGTGCTAAGCTCTTCATTCACCGTGGGGGAGAGGGGTCTTTGTCATTCTAGCTCTGTCCAAATGGGTAGGGTCCCTGTGGGGGAAGACAAAAAAAAAAATGAGAGAAAGCCTTTTGGTTTAGTTTCTATTACAACACAAAGGGGAAAGAAAAGCACAAGCTCCACCATGTCTGTGTTTATCTTCAGTTTCAGGGCGGTAATAAAAGGTGACAAAACCAAACCGCCCAGGCAGTCTTCTTTCGAATTAATGCATCGCTTAAAAAGCCACAAAAGATTCACACAGCTAGTTGACTCTAATTATTCCAGTGTAACAAACCCTGAAAAGGTTGAGAGGTCAAACTGTGAACAAAGCTTTGCCTATGAAAAGTACTGGACCACACCTCTTAACCTTTGAATTCTGATATTTGCATTTCTACAGGCGTATAAGATGATGGACGTAGCCATGCAGTGTGCCTTTACAAGCATATATAAAATAATGGGTTGTTCTAAAGAGCTTACTAAATTTGAGTGTGGTACTGTAACAGGATGCCACCACTGCAACAAGTCGGCTCATGCAAATTTCTTCCCTCCTAGAGAGTCCACGATCGGCTTTAAGTGGAAAGTGGAAGCATTGCGGAACCACAGCGCTTCAGCCATGTGCATAAAAGTCGCCAGCTCTCTGCTGACCCAGAAAGTGCAGACGCCAAAACTTCCACTGGCATAAACATCAGCATAATAACTGCATGCATGGAGCTCCGTGGCATGGGCGATCAGCTCCTCCAGGTGTAATGTGTAGGTGGTTCAGTCCATACAGTGTTTGAGGAGAGAATACCATAGAACAAAAAGGTCTCATCTAAAAGATTTAACTGTAATTTTTTTCTTCAACAAAGACCACTGAGGGAGTTTAACAACGCTGTAACATAGAGGTTTACACGTGTCACAAATAATTACCTGTCAGCCAAACTGTAGCAACAATCCATATCATCTCTGATTTTAACAGGCTGTTTAGCCACACTAGAATTGCAATTACAGTAATTAAGAATAAAAGTAAGAACTTAACAAGAAATGAGGAGCTCGCTTTGCTTTTCTCTGATACTTACCACCAACACTGCAAGAAAATACAAAACCTGGCCAAAACTAAAACTCTATAGCGTTCCCAGTTGAAAAAGTGGGGCTTTTCATTCCTTTGGAATGTTCAGGCCTTCCACTGTAATTAAAAAATATATGTTTAAGTGAGGTTTATTTACTCAAACTTACAAAAAAAAAAAAAAAAAAAAAAGGGAAAGCGGTTTTGGCTTTGACCATTTGCAGACCAACCGCTGATTTGAATGTAGCTACCGCCAAAGCACACACACACACACACACACACACACACACACACACACACACACACACACACAAAAAAACCCTACTTTGTCTGTAAAATTAGAACATTTTTTTTTAATATTCAAACTTTGTTCTGCATCATCAGACGATTGCGCAATATGCTTCGCCAAACTGTACCGTAAGACTAAAATGGATTAAGTCACAGAAACTCTTTTCTGTTTTAAGTAATCCATCTCAAGTTACAACTAATTAGAATAAAGTTTTAAACCCTGAGGCTCGTCTAACTGTCCACAACCTGATATGCCGACAGCTGCAGAGCAGACTGCCAAGAAGACGGTTAGTGTCTAACCACAATCCCCCGAGTAAAGATATCTAATCATCTAATTACTCACGTGAACTTTCCTTTGGCAACATTTTACTCAGTGCGAAGTATATGTAGGTGAATTGAATATATTAAATTTGTGTTAAAATGTGTGCAAATATGTGTAGTCCCAAGAGGAAGAAAATGATAAATGCAATTATCACATTCATGCCCATAAAAAGAGAGAGAGGAAAAAAAGACATCTGATACTTGGGACCAGCTTCACAGGTTAAGTGGAACTAAACTAAACACTGATAATGTAATAGAATTTAATTTTACAGAGAAATAATGATCATTATCGCTTCTTCTTTTTTTTGTATAAAGAAAAAAAATCCACGTAGCATTGCTGAAAGAAGGTTTCAGTCTCACAATTCAGCACTGATATGATTTCCACATCTCCTTCTTGGTGGGACAGCGTCAGAGCTGAAAGCAGCACGTAAAGGTTACTTAGTGCTTTGTTTAAATGGATCAAGTTTAAGAGCTCTAATGTGCAGCTGTCACGTTATAAATAAACAGCGACATGGAGGGTACACGAGTGGTAAAATACAGTGGGGCAAAAAAGTATTTAGTCAGCCACCGATTGTGCAAGTTCCCCCACTTAAAATGATGACAGAGGTCAGTAATTTGCACCAGAGGTACACTTCAACTGTGAGAGACAGAATGTGAAAAAAAAAATCCATGAATCCACATGATAGGATTTGTAAAGAATTTATTCGTAAATCAGGGTGGAAAATAAGTATTTGGTCAATAACAAAAATACAACTCAATACTTTGTAACATAACCTTTGTTGGCAATAACAGAGGTCAAACGTTTACTATAGGTCTTTACCAGGTTTGCACACACAGTAGCTGGTATTTTGGCCCATTCCTCCATGCAGATCTTCTCGAGAGCAGTGATGTTTTGGGGCTGTCGCCGAGCAACACGGACTTTCAACTCCCGCCACAGATTTTCTATGGGGTTGAGGTCTGGAGACTGGCTAGGCCACTCCAGGACTTTCAAATGCTTCTTACGGAGCCACTCCTTTGTTGCCCGGGCGGTGTGTTTTGGATCATTGTCATGTTGGAAGACCCAGCCTCGTTTCATCTTCAAAGTTCTCACTGATGGAAGGAGGTTTTGGCTCAAAATCTCACGATACATGGCCCCATTCATTCTGTCCTTAACACGGATCAGTCGTCCTGTCCCCTTGGCAGAAAAACAGCCCCATAGCATGATGTTTCCACCCCCATGCTTCACAGTAGGTATGGTGTTCTTGGGATGCAACTCAGTATTCTTCTTCCTCCAAACACGACGAGTTGAGTTTATACCAAAAAGTTCTACTTTGGTTTCATCTGACCACATGACATTCTCCCAATCCTCTGCTGTATCATCCATGTGCTCTCTGGCAAACTTCAGACGGGCCTGGACATGCACTGGCTTCAGCAGCGGAACACGTCTGGCACTGCGGGATTTGATTCCCTGCCGTTGTAGTGTGTTACTGATGGTGACCTTTGTTACTTTGGTCCCAGCTCTCTGCAGGTCATTCACCAGGTCCCCCCGTGTGGTTCTGGGATCTTTGCTCACCGTTCTCATGATCATTTTGACCCCACGGGATGAGATCTTGCGTGGAGCCCCAGATCGTGGGAGATTATCAGTGGTCTTGTATGTCTTCCATTTTCTGATGATTGCTCCCACAGTTGATTTTTTCACACCAAGCTGCTTGCCTATTGTAGATTCACTCTTCCCAGTCTGGTGCAGGTCTACAATACTTTTCCTGGTGTCCTTCGAAAGCTCTTTGGTCTTGGCCATGGCGGAGTTTGGAGTCTGACTGTTTGAGGCTGTGGACAGGTGTCTTTTATACAGATGATGAGTTCAAACAGGTGCCATTCATACAGGTAACGAGTGGGGGACAGAAAAGCGTCTTACAGAAGACGTTACAGGTCTGTGAGAGCCAGAGATTTTCCATGTTTGAGGTGACCAAATACTTATTTTCCACCCTGATTTACAAATAAATTCTTTACAAATCCTACCATGTGAATTCATGGATTTTTTTTCACATTCTGTCTCTCACAGTTGAAGTGTACCTCTGGTGCAAATTACTGACCTCTGTCATCATTTTAAGTGGGGGAACTTGCACAATCGGTGGCTGACTAAATACTTTTTTGCCCCACTGTAAATAACTTACAAATTCCAGAGATTAATCTTTTTCTTGCCAGCACTGCTCTCTTATTTGCAACGCCAGTGTTGCATTTTTCCATTATATTCTTTGTTATAATCTCTAGTGAACACAGGCAGAATCCAAACATGTGTTAACAAAGAAAGCTGATAACTGCCACTGTGATACCTGTCAGGGGTTTGAGGTTTATGTGAAACACACAGATGCAAAGACATCCTGGCAATGTCGAACACTTCGTAAGCTACACCCTATAGAGCCATAGAACTGCATAAAGCTCAATATTTAAACATTTTGTACAAGTCAAAACAACTGCTCATCTGCTGCCCATCACCTGTAGAACAGAGTATATAGTTTTTACAAAAACTTGCATATGGTACTTAAAAGTATAAAGGAGTGAATGTAGTGATGTAGGCTTAAAGGTGAGAGCAGATCTGTGATGAGTTCATTTTTACATATACATACCTGTCCATAAGTTACCACAGAAAGATTAGTTTGGAGACCATTTGACGCCCTATTTACAGCATTATGAGACAGTCCATTCTGATCTTGCTGGATTGGCTCTTGCGTGCGTTCCCAGGCTCCACCTGGATCTCTGAAACTGTTGTCAGTGGCATCATGCTTGTTCTTCTGTGGTGAGGCAAAAGGGTTGAAGTCTCCCTGCACATTGCGCTGGGGCTGAGTGTTGAATTCTGTCTCGAAGGAAGATAGCTGCTGGGTCACTCCAAGAAGACCTCCAACTTCTACACTAAGAATCACCCATATTACATCTGTGGAGATAACAAACAAGCACAAAAGTGACCTGACTGTGTAAGACTCAAATGTTTTGCCAGTTTGACAACTTTCTTAGTGTTAAATTGCCATTAAGAGAATATGTAGAATCACAATTGCTTTTATTACCAAGCTTGTACACAAACAGGAATTTGTTGCTGTATGTTGGTGCCAAAAAAACAAAAAGAAGAGTATGCAGCTAGTAAGGTTTTTAACGGGTAACTTTTCTGCTCTTTTCCAACTGTTTATATGGATTTATATGTACTCTTTTAGAGCATTTTTGCATGCTTTACAGCTGGTGAAACACTGGTTTTTGGAGGTTATCCCCTAAAGCATGCACTGCATTGCTGTTTTGAAGCTTTTAGAAAATAATTACTGAAACTATTATCTTCCACTTTGTATTGTGACCTCTTCCAACACTAACACTGTTACCAGCAATGTAACTAATGGTGCTGACATAACTGCATAATTTCCTTAGGGATTAATAAAGTTTTCTGATTCTGATAACAACAACAAGGGAGAGGTAGATGTAAGCACAGGAGTGCATGATGAGGAAGGAGATAAGAGACTGCTGTGAACAGGTTTCACAGGCTAAGGTGTGAATATCTACAGCTGAGGGTGATGTTGATTCTCTGCTGGGCATTTGTGGAGCTCCCCAGGTGACCTTCTGTCAGAAACATGCAGATTTCACTCCCTTCCCCCTTCACTTTAAACCAGCTTTCTTCTGATTGTCTGTCCCTCTAAAATAAAAGACTGAGATAGCGGGTGGGACCTCTGTGCTCACAGCCAGAGCTACATGCTTGAGACAACAATATGAAGTAGGTTTGTTACAAGTCTCAAATGAAGGCTTAAACCACGGGCATCCTCAACATTGTCTGGTGTCTGGTTAAAGCCTGACAGTCTGATGAAATTTTGTTGTTCGTCTTATTTTATGAGAAACTGAAGTATGCGCCAACCAGCGTGCAGCCTGTTACAGTCGCTCCTGCTTTTCTCTTAGTTTAGCTTTTTTTTTCTTACGTATTCTTTTTTTTTTCTGACTTGTATTTTCATCCGTTTATTATCTTTTACTCAATCATGTGGATTGAGAGAGTTTTTGTTCTTCTGGTGGCCGTGGAACTGTTACTTTTATCAAGGAATGGGACCGCGGCACATCTCTTACACTCACGGACTGTTTACTCCAGAGATCAGCTGATCGCCCTGATGCCGGCCGGTTCGCTGGCCAGGCCCGCAGAAGTACCAGCTGAAATTTGGAGGAAAACACATCGGGGATGCAGAGGTCAAGGACAGAAGAGAAGAAAGAAGGAGACGGTGAGACAGCGGAGGCTCGAAGCGAGGAGGAGGTATAAACCATGTCTGCAGTCTATCATGATGGGTAATGTGCGATCGTTGGCAAATAAAATCGACGAGCTCTCAGCACTGGTACGGAGTCAGAGGGAATACCGAGAGTGTAGCCTGATGTGTTTCACCGAATCATGGATGCACCAGGACATTCCCGATGAGAATGCTTCCGTGGAAGGCTTCCACACTGTTCGGGCGGACAGGGACAGCATCGCTAGCGGTAAGCGTAAAGGAGGTGGGCTTGCTGTTTTAGTTAACAACCGGTGGTGTAACCCTGCCAACATAACAATCAAAGAAAAGATTTGTTGCCCGGACACTGAACTGTGTGCTGTTGGACTCAGGCCGTATTATTTACCCAGGGAATTCTCTCACGTCATCTTGGTGGCTGTCTATGTTCCCCCCTCTGCTAACCCCACAGCTGCATGTGACACTATCCACTCTGCCATAGCTCGGTTACAGACTCAGCACCCGAGTGCCTTTATTGTGATCTCGGGTGACTTCAACCATGTATCACTGGACAATACACTAACAACATTCAAACAATATGTGGACTGTCCCACCAGGGGAGAGAAAATCTTAGACTTACTGTATGCTAACGTCAAGGATGCATACAGCTCCTCCTCCCTCCCCCCACTTGGTAGGTCAGATCATAACCTGATTCACCTCACCCCCCGCTATGTGCCAATTGTGAGGAGGGAACCTGTGACCACCAGGACTGTTAGGAGGTGGTCAGAGGAGGCAATAGCGGAACTACAGGGCTGTTTCGAGGTGACCAACTGGGAAACACTCTGTGAGCCTCACGCCGAGGACATCAATGAGCTTACTGAATGTATCACAGACTACATAACTTTCTGCACCGACTCCATTGTTCCAGCTCAGACTGTTCATTGTTACCCAAATAACAAGCCGTGGGTGACTAAGGACATCAAAGCCCTCCTCAACAACAAGAAGAGGGCTTTCAGAGGGGGCAATAAAGAGGAGGTGAGGAAGGTCCAGGTGTTACTAAAGGACAAGATCAGAGAGGCTAAGGACAATTACAGGAGGAAGCTGGAGTGGAAACTCCAGCAGAACAGCATGAGTGAGGTGTGGAGGGGCATGAAGACCATCACTGGATTCAGGCCAACCAACAGCAGGGGAACTGAGGGAGGTGAGAATAGAGCCGACGAGTTGAATCTGTTTTTCAATAGATTCAACACCACAGTGTCTGCTCCTACCCCCACAACCTCACCTGTAGTTAGCCTGGAATCCAGAGCCACACCACTGTGCCAGCCTCTCTCTTCACATGTTGCCTCCTGTGAGATTCCTGACACCCCTCCCCCACCCATCACCTTCACTCAATACCAGGTTGAGATGCAAATGAGGAGACTTCACTCAGGCAAGTCTGCTGGACCAGACGGAGTGAGTCCCCTCGTCCTCAAGACCTGTGCCCCCCAGCTGTGTGGAGTCTTTCATAAACTGTTTATGCTGAGTCTGAGTCTGCAGAGGGTCCCGGTGATGTGGAAGACATCATGCCTCGTCCCTGTACCAAAGACGCCTCGTCCCAGTGGCCCCCAGGATTACAGGCCCGTGGCACTGACCTCCCACATCATGAAGACCCTGGAAAGGCTCATCCTGGACCAGCTGCGACCCATAGTAAGACCACATCTGGATCCCCTTCAGTTCGCTTATCAGCCTCGTCTCGGAACTGAGGACGCCATCATCTACCTGCTCAATCGTGTCTACACCCATCTGGACCAGCCGGCGAGCACTGTGAGGGTCATGTTTTTTGACTTTTCTAGTGCTTTCAATACCATCAGGCCGACCCTCCTGGGTGATAAGTTAGCAGCGATGCAGGTGGATGCTTCTCTGGTGTCCTGGATTGTTGATTACCTGACAGGAAGACCACAATATGTACGTCTCCCACAGTGTGTGTCTGACAAGGTGATCAGCAACACAGGGGCACCACAGGGGACTGTCCTCTCCCCCTTCCTCTTCACCCTCTACACCACAGACTTCAGCCACTGCACAGAGACCTGCCATCTTCAGAAGTTTTCTGATGACTCTGCGGTGGTTGGATGCATCAGCAGGGATGATGAGACAGAGTACCGGGCTGTGGTCGACTCCTTTGTCACGTGGTGTGAACAGAATCATCTGCATCTCAATGTGGCAAAGACCAAGGAACTGATCGTGGACTTCAGGAAGACCAGGAAACACTTGACCCCTGTTTCAATCCAGGGGGTCAGTGTTGACATTGTGGAGGACTATAAATACCTTGGAGTACACATTGACAATAAACTGGACTGGGCTAAAAACACCACAGCACTTTACAGGAAGGGCCAGAGTCGTCTCTATTTTTTGAGGCGACTGAGGTCCTTCTGCCAGAAAATGCTGAGGATTTTCTATGAGTCTGTTGTGGCCAGTGCGATCCTCTATGCTGTTGCATGCTGGGGGAGCAGGCTGAGGGTCGCAGATGCCAACAGACTTAATAAACTAATCCGTAAGGCCAGTAATGTCGTGGGGATGGAGCTGGACTCCCTCAAGGTGGTGTCGGAGAGGCGGATGCTGTCCAAGATAAAGACAATGTTGGATAACACCTCCCACCCACTCCATGACATGCTGGTCAGTCACAGGAGCACGTTCAGTGAGAGACTGAGATTACTGAAAAGCACCACTGAACGACACAGGAAATCTTTCCTGCCTGTGGCTCCCTGTACAACACATCCACTTAACACACTGGTTACTGCTACAACTACACGTTTCTTTTCCAGCTATTTATTTATGAGTGACTTATGTATGTATATATATATATGTATATATTGTACTATTCTTAGTTAGCGTATTGTCTGTCTTGTCTTACTGTTGGTTTATGTTGGTTTATAATGGAGCACTGTAACAAAAAAATAATTTCCCCCAAGGATCAATAAAGTATTCTGATTCTGATTACAGACTAAGGCAGTTCAATTATGGCAAAAGTCATAATCATGGGGGGTGAGGAACAGTGTTAGGCCTTGACCAGGGGGCAATTTTTTGTCTCCGGTAGCTATTGGTTCCTGCCAACCTGCCTCCGCTGTGGGAAGTCTGCCGGCACAGATGGAGGCCAAGAGGGCACAGAGTGACAGTGAGCTCAAGTGGCTCAGAGACCTGCAAAGCAGTCACAGAGGCGAGAAAAAAACCAAAGCCGACAGCAAATTGTCGCACACTGTTGAAAGTGGGCTGAGTGAAAGACCGTCGGATCTGCAGAAACAGGGAGCCACACACAACTGATAATCCTGCAGTTTTTGACTACAAAAACTTGAGTCTTACTTCCTCTAGATCAGGGCTGCCCAATCCCAGTCCTCGAGAGCTACTATCCTGCAGCTTTTAGATGCATCCCTACTCCAACACAGCTGAATCAAATGGTTTGATTACCTCTTCAGCATGCCATCGTGTTTGGCAAAGGCCTGATAACAAGCCATTCATTTGATTCGGGTGTGTGGGAACAAGGATGCATCTAAAAGCTGCAGGACGGTAGCTCTCGAGGACCAGGATTGGGCACCCCTGCTCTAGATTGATGTCTCTTAATGAGCTTTTCTGAAGCTGCAGTAAAAAGCGACTGACTTTAAGTTATTAGGATGAGCAAAGAACACAGCTATGAAGAAAAGGGGAGCCTAATGTATTACAGAGTACCTAAACAAGACCTTTGTTCTGAACATGAAAGCAAAATACTAACAGTTGTATTATAATGTTGTTTTTAATCATCACGGGAACCGAAAATTGTAAATGAGATATAAATCTGATTAATTATCTTGGCTTAGTATGAACTGAAATTATTATTTACTATTATTAGTCATAGGTCTCATAAATGTACTTGATAGTTAATCAAAGTAGTAGTGGTTCTTACCTCCATAAAATAATCCAGTGGCAGTACACATCCTCCACTGGCCCTGGTACATGCCAGGAGTTGTGGGACTTCGCATCTGCACACTCACATCTGATATTTCCTGGGGATCTAGCGACTTCACAATAACTGTGTTTACATGCCCAAACTGATCGCCTCCAATGTACTTGAGACAAACGCCCGGTGGCCATGACTCTGCACCTACAAGACACCAAGAAGAATTCATTCAAAATACATCTCAACAAAATCCATGAACACGTTACAGATTTATAAAGACTATCTACATGTATACAATGTGAAGGTGTAAATGTAAAGCCCATATACCTGTGTTTTGTATCCTCCAGGTCTTAGTGAACAGCGTATCTGGAGGGACAGACTCTCCTTCCCCAATTGTCACATCCTCAACAAAGGACATAGATGGGGTGTTGACATTGGGACTTTCAAAGTCATAATATGCACCAATAGCAGCCTGCAGATTCCTGTTCCAATGCAAAAGAAGCGAGCATAGAGTTAATACACATCAGCAATACCTATCGATCCTGGTTATTAAACTTGAAATCATAGTGCTGAAGTATAAAGTAAAATCTGTCCAAGTGTTTTTGTTTGTCTTTGCAAAGCCTGCCCTACTTTTACAATTAGCATTATTTGTAACATATTTGCCAGATCAGCTTGTCCTCATAACATATTTGACTACTTCAACATGCACCTCCTGAGTACAATACTGTTAAAAAGTATCTGCCTTTTCTGATTTCTTACATTTTGGATATTACACTTACATGTTTTCAGATCAAACAAATTTTAATTAGTCAAAAAGAACAAATACATTTTAAATGATGATTTCATGTATTAAGGGGGGGGGGGGGGGGGGGGGGGGGCTATCCAAACTAAAATTCCTCCAAGAACATCATCTAAGGAACTGCAGGCCACACTTGGCTCACGTAATGTCAGAGTGTATGACTCAACAAAAAACAGAGACTAGGCAAAAACACTTCTGACCAAAAATGGATTCTTATATGGCACTTTTCTACTCTTCCACAGCACAAAGCGTTTTGTATAACATGCCTCATTCACACACTCCTATTCATTTTTCTATGCTTAAGTGCTTTCTATCTAAATTTTACACACATTCATACTCTGATGCATCCATTCTAGTATGCATAGTTAGTATCTTGCCCACAGATATCTGGCATGCAGACTGGAGCTGCCAGGGACCAAACCACCAACTATCCAATTATTAGATGACCTGCTCTACCTACTGAGCTACCAAAAAAATCCCCACAAAGGCTTGCCAAATGCACCTGATGATCCCCAAAACAGAAAATATTCAGTGGAATGATGAGACTGGTTCAGTTTTTTGGAAAGTTTATATCTGGCATAAACTAACACAATATTTGATAAGAAATAACATCACACCAATAGTCAATCATGGTGGTGGTAGTATAATGGCCTTGGGCTGCTTTGCTGCTTTAGGAGCTGGACGACTTGCCATTATTGATGGAATCGTGAATTCCAATCTATACTAGAAAAACCTGAAGCCATCGGTTTTTTGTCCTGAAGCAGAAGCACACCCAGGTTATGCAGCAGGACAACAACAAAATATCAGAAAGATCAAAATAAATAAGATAAAAAGAAAACAAATGTTTTGGAGTGGCTTAGTTAAAGTCTGAATTTAAATCTGATTAAGATGCTTTGGCATAACCTTAAACAGGCTGCTCATGATCGAAAAGCCTCTAATGTGGCTGAATTAAAGAGTGGGCCATAATTCCTCCACAGCTGTGTAAAAGACTCATTGCCAGTTACTGCAGACTCTTAATTGTAGTTCTTACTGCCAAGGGTGGCAAAACTAGTTATTAGGTTTGTCTCAGATAGGTTTGGATAACTTTTCCCCCCTTAATTAAATTGTCATATAAAAACTGTATTTTGTATTAACTCTGATTATCTTTGTCTACTCACATTTTTTGCTGATCTGAAGCATGTAAGTGTGAAAAATACACAACAAAAAGAAGTAAAAACAAAGTTGTACAGTCCTACATAGTCATCTTAGTGGCACTTCTCTTAGTTTAGCTTTGCCAGTAAGAGAGAAATAAGGCTGCCTGGTTTAGTGGTTTGCTACCTCTGAGCCATTGCTCATATACTAGCCATAAATTCATGTTTACTTAGAACTTCCAAATCTTGGATTCAGGGGACAGATTCAAACAACTGCCGCGCAATGATGCCTTCTTTCCATTATGACCTCCTAAGCTCCATTCCCCTATACAGAAGCTATGTGAAATCAAGTTTTATCTTTCAAAATTGATCCAATAAAGGGCATGAATCGCTGACAAACTAAAGAACGTGAGCATAGCTGGCCAGGAGCACAAAGGCGTTGTGATCAAGACCACTTGTTGTCGGCCGCTGATAGATCACGACTGGTTACGTCATCAGAATAACGTGAAGTGAGCGACGCTGCCTTGAGTTTTGGCTTCCCGATGAGCACGGTTTAACTGGCTCTGTGCGCTGTTATGTAACATGGCTGACGATCCGGGAGGGAGAGTTCCCTGTGCTTAAATTAGCCTGCTAGCTATTTGGTTCCTCGGTGACTTCACCTTACTGTTTCCTCTGCGGTCACGGCAAACTTTACCGTTTCACTTCCGTTTGCCAGTGATGATAGCTTGGAGTTAACAGTCATCCCATAGAATGGGAATGGTGATATGATTACCTTCAGGGTTCAACATCACCTCCATAGCGCTCTATTTTGAACATTTTTTTATCTATGTAGGCTAACAAGCTAATTATAAAGCTAGGTTAGCGTCATACTCCTGTCCTCCCCACAGCGGGCCCTCCAATCCCCGCACTCACCAGTTGGTCATGTCCAGGAAGAAGGCGCAGCCGGCAGGGTTGAGCTGAAAGCCCAGCAGCCTCTGGAACTCCGAAATAAGGACGTCCTTGTCCGTGGTGCCCATGCAGCTGAACTTCTGCATGAGCTCCGCGTCCACGTCCATGTCCGTGCCCTCCATGGGTGCCAGGTGTCCCGTGGCGGAGACGGGGGTGGTACGGGGGTCCTCTCTCAATTGAGTCCGAGGCCTTGTTCAGCCATAACAACCAGTTCAACAACAACAACCGTTAATGCGCATGGCACAACTAGGGGGACGATGTTTGACGTTGCAACAGCGCGCTCGTCGCCCTCCGCCAATCACTTGGTGGGCGTCGACGTCATCTGTTGCTATTTGTAGCCACCTTTTCATTGGTTTATCAATGAAATCTGTTTCCCATCTATCTGTTCAATGTAAAATATGGACAGTATGACTACCGATGTACATGAAAACAGCACTGAATATATTAATTATATAAAATTTGAATTAGAATTAGAATTTAATTACACATATAAAGTTTTTCAGAATTATAAAAACTCACTTTTTTAAAGATGTACTTTTCCTTAACCTTTCTATGAAGTGATTATGCTTGAAAGCAAAATTCAACATACAGGAAAGAAATATATAAATCAATAACGATCTGTATATATCATTTACATATATCAAATTTTCACAGTTTAACATTATACCTCATGTACCTAATCTTTTATCTATTCACATAATCATATTTTATGTATCAATGTCATGCTTCAAAATCCCCATTTTTCAATTTTATAAATGATAAATGAATACAAAGTTTTAAAAAACTTGTGTTGTTCATTATCAATATAAGGGGTTATATGAATATAGTGCTTTTGACAACATTTCCTGTCCAGTGTCTTGGGAGAAATGAACACATTTATTTTATTTATGTTGGGGTTTTTTTTGTTTTTGTTTTGAACAACACTGAATCTACTACATACATGTAAATGGTGCCCTTTATCTGCACCACCTTCTTTTTTTTAACTGGATTGCAAAATATAATTGTTTTATTATTGGTACAAATAATATGGTGGGTTTAAAAAATGTAATTAGTTTGTTTGTTTGAAAGTTGCTGATTTTGGTTGCACTTACGAATGTAATTACGTCATTTACATGCAGGGGTAGTATGTACTGCCTAATAGTAATGGAAATCACTAAATGTCAAAAAATTATTATTATTATTATTATTATTATCATTGTACTTTTCATCTACTGTATTTAAATCACAACTAACTTGTGAGTTCATCAATAACTAAAGAAAAAGCACATACAACACATACAAAATTCAATTCATGTCATTTGCAGTTAACAAACTACTAAATCTAATATATGGTTTTAGAAACTGGGTTAACAAGTTAAAGCCAATACATGCCACATACATGCTAATTTGTGACTTAAGCCATGGCTGTGATAACAACTAAATACCAACAGAAGAAAGAAAACCATGTAATTTTCCATAGCACGATTTTAGGCGGAACTAAATTTGTGTAGGTCTCCATATCTTGTCGGAACGCTTATTGGGAGCACCGGCGTCGCGCTTTCTGGTGGAGGTTCCTGTGAAACATGCCGAAGTAAGTTCACATAAAATTTGTTTTTACTGATAAGTCTTCTACCTATTTCGTTTAACAGCATTGGTGTGCGTTTGTATTTAAATTAAGTAAGAATTGGTGGTAAGAAAAACCCTGGAGACTAATAACCGGGGTATGCTCAGACCGAGGCTGTAAGCTGTGTCTGGGCTCTGGCTATTTGCTGGAGCGAAAGCCAACATAAACGTTTACCAGCAAATATCGACAGATAGTGAAGTCATGGGTCTGTGATATTGAACAGATCAGTCTCTCAATGGTTTCTATTGAGGCTTACGTAATTTGTGTAATACGCTTAACAAATATCTAAACTACAGAGCAATTCACTGTTTTGTTCGAGTTTTCTCGCGGTTCCTAATGGTCCAACAAACAAATGTGTATTTAGTTCAAACTTTTCATTGTTTTTTCCCGCAGAATTACAGTGGCGTTTGCCTTTTTTTTAAAGGTCTTTTTTAGCTAAAATTAGTGAGTCATCTGGCCCGAGAATATCTTATCTATTTCTGAAAAATAAGAATAATGTAAACATTTCTTGCATGACCACAGAAGTATACATGCTATCCTTTGTGAAAGGTAAATATTTCCAGCCGGGAGGGACTTTTCATGTAGGGCATCTCAAAATCTAGGTGGACATTTTCTAACACCTGCATGGAGCATATGTTACTTAAAAAATGCATTCTCCTTTACAACACACTTCTAATATACAAAAGGATATATTAGAGGGAATATTTTGTGTAGTGGTGATTTGAGCTGACATGTGACATGGTGTTACCCTGTTGGAAAACTGTGGTTTCTAAAGGGCTGGACATTACTCAGGTACACCATGTTGTTTAAAAGTTGATTCATTTTATTTGGATGCAGCATTTTCAGTGGGTGAATAGTTTAATTTCTCATCCATACTTTTCCCACTGAAAAATGTTATTTACAGATGAACTCAATAAACCTTATGGGATTTCCTTACCTGGATTATTGACCATCAAACCGTGAACCATTGATACAAGGCAGGATGGATCCAGCATTTTATGCTGCTTCCACCAGTCTCTGACCGTTCAAATATCACAACAGAAGTAGCGACTCGTCAGACCAGAAAACATATTTTCAATCTTTTGTCTGCCAAGGCAACGATTTGGTGTGAATTGTTGCCTCATTTTCCTGTTCTTAGCAGACTTTAGTGACACCCAGTATGGTCTTCTTTTGCTGTAGTCCATCTGCTTCAAGGTTTGATGTGCTGAGCATCCCAAGAAAATCAAACCAGCGTGCCTGTGTAGAATATCCACAAAACTTAAAAAGAGGTTATACACACACAATACGGTAATATCAGAATCAGAATACTTTATTGATCCCTGGGGGAAATTATTTTTTGTTACAGTGCTCCATTTTAAACCAACATTAAGACAAGACAGACAATACACTAACTAAGAATAGTACAATATATACATATATATACATACATACATACATAAGTCACTCATAAATAAATAGTTGGAAAAGAAACATGTGTAGTTGTAGCAGTAACCAGTGTGTTAAGTGGATGCGTTGTACAGGGAGCCACAGGCAGGAATGATTTCCTGTGTCGTTCAGTGGTGCTTTTTGGTAATCTCAGTCTCTCACTGAACGAGCTCCTGTGACTGACCAGCATGTCATGGAGTGGGTGGGAGGTGTTATCCAACATTGTCTTTATCTTGGACAGCATCCGCCTCTCCGACACCACCTTGAGGGAGTCCAGCTCCAACATTACTGGCCTTACGGATTAGTTTATTAAGTCTGTTGGCATCTGCGACCCTCAGCCTGCTCCCCCAGCATGCAACAGCATAGAGGATCGCACTGGCCACAACAGACTCATAGAAAATCCTCAGCATTTTCTGGCAGATGTTGAAGGACCTCAGTCGCCTCAAAAAATAGAGACGACTCTGGCCCTTCCTGTAAAGTGCTGTGGTGTTTTTAGCCCAGTCCAGTTTATTGTCAATGTGTACTCCAAGGTATTTATAGTCCTCCACAATGTCAACACTGACCCATTGAATTGAAACAGGGGTCAAGTGTTTCCTGGTCTTCCTGAAGTCCACGATCAGTTCCTTGGTCTTTGCCACGTTGAGCTGCAGATGATTCTGCTCACACCACGTGACAAAGGAGTCGACCACAGCCCGGTACTCTGTCTCATCATCCCTGCTGATGCATCCAACCACCGCAGAGTCATCAGAAAACTTCTGAAGATGGCAGGTCTCTGTGCAGTGGCTGAAGTCTGTGGTGTAGAGGGTGAAGAGGAAGGGGGAGAGGACAGTCCCCTGTGGTGCCCCTGTGTTGCTGATCACCTTGTCAGACACACACTGTGGGAGACGTACATATTGTGGTCTTCCTGTCAGGTAATCAACAATCCAGGACACCAGAGAAGCATCCACCTGCATCGCTGCTAACTTATCACCCAGGAGGGTCGGCCTGATGGTGTTGAAAGCACTGGAAAAGTCAAAAAACATGACCCTCACAGTGCTCGCCGGCTGGTCCAGATGGGTGTAGACACGATTGAGCAGGTAGATGATGGCGTCCTCAGTTCCGAGACGAGGCTGATAAGCGAACTGAAGGGGATCCAGATGTGGTCTTACTATGGGTCGCAGCTGGTCCAGGATGAGCCTTTCCAGGGTCTTCATGATGTGGGAGGTCAATGCCACGGGCCTGTAATCCTGGGGGCCACTGGGACGTGGCGTCTTTGGTACAGGGACGAGGCATGATGTCTTCCACATCACCGGGACCCTCTGCAGACTCAGACTCAGCATAAACAGTTTATGAAAGACTCCACACAGCTGGGGGGCACAGGTCTTGAGGACAAGGGGACTCACTCCGTCTGGTCCAGAGTGAAGTCTCCTCATTTGCATCTCAACCTGGTATTGAGTGAAGGTGATAGGTGGGGGAGGGGTGTCAGGAATCTCACAGGAGGCAACAGCGCCATGTGAAGAGAGAGGCTGGCACAGTGGTGTGGCTCTGGATTCCAGGCTGACTACAGGTGAGGTTGTGGGGGTCGGAGCAGACACTGTGGTGTCGAATCTATTGAAAAACAGATTCAACTCATTGGCTCTATTCTCACCTCCCTCAGTTCCCCTGCTGTTGGTTGGCCTGAATCCAGTGATGGTCTTCATGCCCCTCCACACCTCACTCATGCTGTTCTGCTGGAGTTTCCACTCCAGCTTCCTCCTGTAATTGTCCTTAGCCTCTCTGATCTTGTCCTTTAGTAACACCTGGATCTTCCTCACCTCCTCTTTGTTGCCCCCTCTGAAAGCCCTCTTCTTGTTGTTGAGGAGGGCTTTGATGTCCTTAGTCACCCACGGCTTGTTATTTGGGTAACAATGAACAGTCTGAGCTGGAACAATGGAGTCGGTGCAGAAAGTTATGTAGTCTGTGATACATTCAGTAAGCTCATTGATGTCCTCGGCGTGAGGCTCACAGAGTGTTTCCCAGTCGGTCACCTCGAAACAGCCCTGTAGTTCTGCTAAGGCCTCCTCTGACCACCTCCTAACAGTCCTGGTGGTCACAGGTTCCCTCCTCACAATTGGCACATAGCGGGGGGTGAGGTGAATCAGGTTATGATCTGACCTACCAAGTGGGGGGAGGGAGGAGGAGCTGTATGCATCCTTGACGTTAGCATACAGTAAGTCTAAAGTTTTCTCTCCCCTGGTGGGACAGTCCACATATTGTTTGAATGTTGGTAGTGTATTGTCCAGTGATACATGGTTGAAGTC